AATATACTCACAGCATTCATGACCATATTCAACACCGGCGAGGGAGAACCCTGCAGATTCACATAGGGACTGACACTTCTCCGGGGTCATATCATTGGCATTTCCCCCGTTATGTTCGAGGGCTCGCACATGATCGACATTGTCGCTCCAGCAGCCACCTTGAGCCGGGGTCCAAGTAGCTCTCTTATGAAGTGAAGCATACTTTAAGCCGGTGGGATCCAAAATTTCAGTCGGATCGCCAGTAGGGGCCGCTTTGACGCTAGAGAGAAATGTTCCCGCGAGAGGAATGAGGATAGAGGTGAACGAACGCATCGTTCGGTATTAAGGGTTCGGATTAAGTGAATGCTGTAAGTCTAGTTATTTTACAAATTATTATTTGCTGAAGGGTGGGTTCTACAGACTGCGGTAATACTATCATGGGCAACAATCGTCCCAATGCCAACATCTGCACCATGACTTGCAGCGGTGACTCGAGCCAGACTTGCGGTGGACCCGATGCCATCAACATCTACGTCAAGGATAGCTACGCATACACCACTGGTCCGGCCTCTGTTCTCCCTTCGTACAATGGATACGATGTCACTCAGTGCTGGCAGTAAGTTACACCTTTATCCCCATCGAGAACGAATCTCACCTCCTTTAGGGACGCTTCGAACAACCGCATCCTGAAGCAAGGACCCGCTACTTCGATCCCATACGACCAGATGACCGCCCAAAAGTGCGTTGACGGATGTGCCGCCGCCGGCTTCTCTTCAGCTGGCGTAGAGTATGGAGGTGAATGCTACTGCGACAATGTCACGCTCCCACCTGGCCAAAGCGAATCGATCAGCGAGAATAGAGGTGGCGGGATTGTTGGTGAGGATACGGTTTCCTTCCCTAAACACAAAGTTAAATGGTAGAATGGCAGCTCACAATTGAATACTTACTGCCAGCATTGAGCATTGTTATAGCCATTGTAAGAGGCAAGAGGAGACGCAGGACCGGTGGTATACTGATAGCCATCTTTGACGTAGATGCTGATTGCGTCGGGTCCTCCGCAAATTTGAGTAGAATCACCAGCACAAGGTGTGGTACAAATGCTAGCGCTAGGGCGGTTGTTACCCATGATTGTGTTACCACAATCTATACAGATGCGGCCAATGAGCAATCCATAGCATAGACGAAAGCAAAGAATGAAAT